AAAATAACAAAAATACAAAAATATTTAGCTTTAAGAGGGTTAGGCCTACCCTAAATTAAAGAACGCTCGACCTCGACACGTGATATCGAAATGGGCGAAATCGCCTCTTGATATCACTAACTCTCCTGACTCCTGACTCCTGAAGTTTAATTGAAAGATGGCGCTAGTTAAAATGCTGGGTGGTCAATAAATCGGTCCAGCTACTCAGTGATGTGTATCGTATATCTCATCACCCATGACCTTGAATCTTGGTAAAGCAAGTTCACTGTACCACGGGGAGAAGGATTAACCAACGCTATCACTTATACGGGACAGAATACAAATGTAATGACTCCCATGAGTGAACTTCGTCATTGAGGAAATTGGTGAGTAATTACAAGATTTATACATTAACCCTTTCATACCGAATTAAAACCATTATCGGAACAATGTACTTATTTGCATTTTGGGAACATTTTCCTATTCCACTTTCACTTTTTATTCTCTATATATTGTTTTTATAATTTATATAAATATACTATATCATACAATATATTATATATAATACATGCAAATATATATCTGAATATGATAAAAATGACAGCTGAGATAAGGCTTCCTACGGAGTTCAGTCGTGCAAAATAGTATCCATTGTAATGAAATGTGGGGTGCTAAGTCACGAGAATCCTGAGGAATCACCCTGTGATTATCCATTGGAATGGACACGGGGTCTGAAAGGGTTAACGCCTAATCCAATCTAAGCGGTGTCCAACATCGGCCTTATATGGCGATGATATTGGATCATAATCCTTCTCCCCGTTGTCTCGTGAACTCCTCCAAGATTCGAGGTCAGCCGATCTATGTATTCCGAGATGCTCATTTCTGAGTAGCTTAACCAATTCAATGGTCACCCTGTGAATCTCAACTATGCGACTCAATCTATGTTATTTGTATATATCGTCCTGCCATTCTCTCCGTCTTTTTTTTTTAACAGCAGACCCTCCAGCAATGAAAGCTGGAAGGGAACTGGCAACTTCGGCTGGAGAAAATGACGAGTCGACCCAAGTGAAGCGGTGCGCCTTCAGGTCGAGATACAGGAAGAACCCGCAGTGAAATATCAACATTCGCGATAGAAATTATGTTCAGCCACAAATTTTGTCAGAAACGAACTAAGCCTGTATAAATAAACTTAAAAACTAGGAAGTTCCCGATTTGGTGTTTAATGGGGAAAATGTTAAGGCTCCACGTTTCAGTGAAATCCTCTTTGTCAGGATAAAAAAACTGAGATCTTCATAGTTCGGAAAATGAACTTTCCGACCCTGTATCTTGGTTTCATATGCAGTATATCTCCCTATCACCTAAATAGGTCTCTTCCCTTCCAGGAAAGAAAACTTACTAAAAAATGAAATAGTCTGCCCCATCTGCTGTGTATCGACCTTAAATTTTTTAAAGATTTCAAACACTCCCCTCGTCCCTATTTCGGAACTATTTCATTTTTATCTCTCTCCCTCCCTCATGTTACATCCTGAGGAGTGGAGTTCTGAAAAAAAAATGAAATCCCATTTTCTGGTTTTACTTTCAACGTGTGTCCGGAGACAATCACATCAATGGTAGTAAGAGTCTAACACAGTGGCGTAGCCAGGTTTTCGTCAATGGAGGGGCTAAGAGGAACGTTGGGGGGGGGGGCTTACTTCTCCTCGTCAAGGTGGACCGAGGAGGGGGCTGACGCATTCCGACCAGAGTTGGGGGGGGCTTGAACCAAACAACTTGGGGGGCTTCAGCCCCCCCCTCGCTACGCCACTGGCCTAACAATGTCTAAAACCCCTTAGAAATCACTGGATGTGCAATTGGACGAAACACAGAGGCAGCCGCACAAACCTACCTTCTTCCTATGGAGGGGGCGGGGGCGGGAGCGGGCAGGGCGTAGGGAGCTCCGGCTCCCCCCTCCCCATCAGGACAAGCGTGAAGGTAATGTGATTTTCTATCGATTGCACCCCATACTTCCTTCTGAATTGCGCCACGTCATCCAACTGAGTGACATCTGTCATCTCAACTGCCCCTGGCCACATCAGTGACGGAAGTGTGAGTTAAGTCATTTCCGCTTCCTCCATAGTAGAGGGGAATGCAATTAATCGGAAATCACTGTAGGTGAACAGGCTACCACCACTGTTTGGGCATCGAAACTCGCAAGTTCTCTTTATCGTGTTCTGGCTCATTAGTAGCTCAGCACATTGCCTTTCCCCTTCCTTCCGTCATTCAATTTCCGTAACACTTCCGAAAATTCACGTGCATGCCAGTGCTTCCTTCCAGCAAAAAAAATTCCTTAAGTGAGAACTGGGATCTTAGAGGTTTAGCCCGGATTCCCACGTGGAAAATATTGTATCATTGGACCCGTCATCCTGAATTGAAGTCGACTGAAAGCACTTGAAATCGACGTCGACCATGACGGTGAGGTTTCAGTCACCTCTATTGCGCGAGTTGAAGTAGAGGGACTATGGCGGTCCCCATACCACATGCAATGTGCTAGATGCGCACGACTTGCCTGAGGTCTCATCCTCGCTTTTCGGTGAGTTCCTTCAACTGCGCCCATGGCATGAGACTAGCTCTTCACTGCCCGAAAACGGAACCCTGTGTCGTGAAACAATGATTCACATTCACTGACGGCGGATTAGGTATAACTTAGGTCTATGGCCTAATTGTAACTGACCTTAAAACTAATGACGTCCTCTGCATTTAAAAATTTGTGTAGTTGCCTTCTCACTCTCTTTGGATTGTAATGAACTCTTATTTAAGACGGAATTTGGCGAATTTAAACTCAACTTTAGTTTAGCTAACATACTCATTGTCATGCCTTACATGTGAGTCATAGTCATGGCCTTGAATCCCCGTTCAACTATACATTCTGAGAATGGTTTCATGGTTCCTGAATCTTTGAAATGCACCCCTAGGCAAAGGAGCATAACTGTATTTAAAAATCAAGTATTGTTTGAGTCAAAATTTGATGGCAGCTATATCCTAGACTGGCCTATACCATAAACCTTTCAACCTTTCCTAGACTGGCCTATACCATCAGTACTTCATACATACATCATTGTGTGAAGTCCGCTCAAAGACCATGTCCAGATGTCATGCCTTAGGTTCAGGAAACAAATTTCAAAAGAATGTGATGTGGAGAAACAATTTCTTATACCCAAAAGTGGAAAGAGTCTGAGTGTACCCTCTTCTCCATCACACTCTCCAAACTCATATCATTTTACATTATACATGTCTGAAGTGATGTGTAAAAGAATCATGACTCTTTGAAGTATTTATCCTTTTCCAGAAAAATTTTGAATGTAAACATATCCACACGAACCAGGCCATTGGAAAAGCAAAGTATCATTCAAAGATAGCATACATGATCATGGGAAATATGCACAAAAACAGTGGGTTGTCGTCAGGTTTTCTGTGCAGGAAACCTATGGCATGTTCAAATAAAATTTTTGTCACTTAGCATTGAGACCTTCTTAGAAGAAAACTATGAATGGGATAATGACATTCTCAGCCCCCATTGCTCTTGATCTGCTTTCCTAGTATACATGTATGTATTTTACCATGAAGTTCTTTTCCTCTTCTCCACAATAGATATGAAGGAAAACATCTTGATTTGCCAAAAAACCTGGTTTCCAGGTTCTTTCCACAAGGTGCTTGAAGTATTCTCATTGGTAATGCAGAAGAATTGCATTTAGATCTATCCTTCCACCTTGACACAGTTTAGCATGTGCACCCCAGCATGGTGTACAAACCTGTATGGTATTGTGATGACTTGTATAAAAAATGGCTGAACATGGATAGAATGTGAAAAGCTGAAAATGGAGACAAAGGGCAAAGAAGGAAAAAGGAAAAGACAAGCAAGTTCTCACAGTATCCCAGATAGAGTGGGACAAATTTACTATGCATTTGGTTTGTACATCTCCAACCATCCATTCCTTGTGATTGGGCTTGCCTTGCTGGTAACACTTCTTGCTTGGTATGTGAAAACTTTCAGTGCTCAAAGTTGCATTAGATTCTTATTTTGGATGTAGATACATTATCAACATGTATACTGTCATTCTTACATAGCTATCCCTTAATGAAGCTTCCTCTCCCGGGTCGGTTCCCTAAAACTGTCACTATGTCTGTGGAAGACTTTGAGGATTTCTACAAGGCTCTGGTAGAAAATAAAACATCAACTGATGTGGAGACTTGGGATGTGCCTTGGTTGAAGTCACCCCCTCTTGCTTACATACAACAGGTGATTATCAATGGAGAAGCCTCCTTGACATCATGTTTCTTGCATGAATATGTCCTGCTTTGCAATAATTACTTTGATGACATGATATTTCAGGTTGTCATAAAAGCTTCAGTGTCTCCATGGACAGATGAGATGATATTGACAGATGCTTTCAGAGGTCCGCTTGCTGCTGCATTCCAACTTACTGAACTTGTCAGCAATTTCCAATCACCAAATGGGTGAGCTGCTTGCCAGTTGCTATGTGATTTGAAGTGTGACTATGCCTTTCAGGAGCTGAATTTTAGATTAATACATTTAGTGATCATTTCTGTATTTTTTTAAAATTACAAGTAATCAAAATAGCAACCTAGTTATACAAATTTGCATGTCAGGATGTCAGAATTTTTGTGATCACCTGTCCATTTTATTGGTTGCATCAACATATTTAACTTCAATTGATCAGCACTTCTTTCAGCAATGTGCATAATATGCTATCAGAATTATATGTATGTATTCAGTCTGTGCCATTCACTAGGTTAACCTGAAAAATGCACTTAAGATGTTAAGACTCTTTCAACTCTTACTTCCCTCACCTTTCTCATATCTTATACTATACCTACAACCCAGTGCATGGTGACTTGTGTATGTTTGTGATTTGCACTTAACAAGATGTGATCTTCCCTAATTCACTCAGGAGTAACAAGGTGGGGGAAAGGCATGTTCACAGAGGATTTCTGAGAATTCAACTTCTTGATGCATATAGATGTTTGGCATATGAAATGAGGAAACATGATGCAATGATAGGAAAGAAAGGGATACATTCATCCAGACTCAATTGTTTTATTTATTGCTTGGTGCTTTTTATGGGTACCAGGGAAAGAAGAGAACTTATGCATCATTCCATGATTGGTCTGCTGATAATCAGTGACCCTTTACATGTCAATGAGATTAATCATGAAGCAAAAGAAATGAGAATTGGTGTTCAAGTGCATCAAATTTACAAAGAGCTTGTATTCTGTTATCTTGGTTCATCTGCAGGAAAACATTGAGTGAGTATTGTACCCACGTTGAAGAGCCTCTGCATTACCTTCCCTCAAACATATCTGTTCTCTTCCCACACTACAACTGCCTCCTCCTTTCCCCTGCCAACATATGGAAGAAAGCGCAGCACCTCTTTCTGCAAGATTCTGATTTCCTTCATTCCATTCATAGGCTTCAGGCAAGAAAACTACTGGTCTCCTTTAGATAATGAATCCTTCCCTCATTCCCCACTACTTGATTGATTTCTGTTTCTTTTTCTTCTTTAATAATGCTTTTCCTCTCCATAACAGGAAATAACAAAGGACAGCTCCAGTAGCCTGACTGAGCTGTTCTTTGGGGTGCCCATAAAGGAATCAGGTTTGAAGAGATTCCTTTCTCAATCCCGGCAGCGAGTAATCACATATGCAGTGACTTTGGCTGTCTCTCGTTATGATGCTGGGTGAGTACATTTTCATCTGTGCTTGCACTGGTACCTTATGAAGCTTTCAAACTCATGTATTGTTCAAACCAAGGATCTCATCTTGCAACATGTCCATCTACTCATTGTTAGTAAGGTTGCCTCTGCAGTCACATCCACTCTGGCTACATGAATGGGTTATTTTCTTAACTTTGCTGTCTCAAGATCCATGAAAATAGAACTGTAATTCCAGAGTTGTCTTGATTATTATGAAACTTTTGATTAAAAAGTGAAATATGGCTGACTTGAGAGCCCCCCTGATGCATTTTGATTTCCAAGTGCTGAGTTGAAGGTAGGTTGTAACTGATGTAATTAGAATGTATGGTGATATGTCATGTATTTTGTGGAAAGCTCACTTAAACATAAGAGGGGTGGCAGTAGTATTGACAACATTATTTACTTGTATTGCTTCTTTGTCTTTTCAGCTTTCTGGGGAGTTTGGACCAAAGATTAAAGGAGCAGTTTCAAAGACAGAACTCAAGCAAAGAGGTGCTTCATGTTTTTTATCCCACTCAGGTGACATTCATGGAAGTCCTACCCATTCTGGCAACACTGGTAGCCATCTTCTCATACATGAGCTTCTCTGTATACAAAATGGAGCTCCTCAAGTCCAAGTTTGTGATGGCATTTAGTGCTGTGTTGACAGTGATTGCATCCTTGTGTGTGTCATTGGGAGTATGCTCCTTACTTGGTCTATCCTTCCACTGGACGGGGAAGGAAGTTTTGCCATACCTAGTGTTGGTAATTGGATTGGAGAACACACTGGTCCTTACACGATCTGTTGTCTCCACCCCATCCAGTTTGGATGTGAAGATTCGAGTGGCTCAAGGTCTGAGCAAAGAAGGGTGGAGCATCACAAAAAACCTCTTGGCCGAGATGACCATCCTCACAGTTGGCTTCCTCACATTCATCCCATCCATGCAGGAATTCTGTCTCTTTGCATTTGTGGCAATTGTGTCTGATTTCTTCCTACAACTCACATTTTTTGCCACCATCCTCTCGATTGACATTCGACGCCTAGACCTAGACGAGGCTTCTACCCTCCCACGTCACAAGGTCCAGCAGGGCCAGCATCACCGGACATACAGTCGTAGTTCCTCCATCGGTGGTGGAGGACACTACCCATCATATGTGGTGGCTGCATCTTATGGGGCCCCTTTTGTTGTTCATCTCCCACGAAGGCTTCGACTGGTGTATTTTTGGGCTCAGGTCCGATTCTTCCAGCGCTGCTTTCTTGTGTTCATGATTATTTGGCTCTCATTCATCATCTACCAAGTTGGAATCCTGAGTTCGCTTGCTTTCCTGGCCATCCCCACAAATGGAAGCTCCACACCCCATTCCCAGTCCCACCTTTCTCAGAAAACCAGTTCCATTCATCCCAATGCCAAGCTGTCTGGCAGGAATGCATCCACCTCAGAGGACATGCGTCTTATGCACCGAGACCTTCGTATTCATGTCCAACTTCCTCCATCCCATTGGCCCACACTGTTTGGCATCTACAACATGTCCTTATGGGGACAGTATATCACAATTCTCCCTCCTATCCTCCTTTCTTTGTCAGTGGACCCAGAAGATGTGAAAAGGTGGCGTCACCCTCAAGATGTTGATGCCAGTGACAAGCTTCATAAGCGAGGTTTTGCTCCTGCAGCTTTAGATTCCTTTGATTCATCAGGTATGTCACTGCTTAAGTTCTTGATCAAGAGGACATTTTATTGACAGGACCATAAATATTTTATTTTGCTTCCATGTTTATCAGATGGAGAATTGGGGCCCCAACTGCGGCATCTTGTTGCCCCAAGTGGGGGTCAAGGTGGTCCATTTGTACCTCAGAGTCCATTGGAGACCACATTGTTCATCATTTTAGCTATCCCAAGTGTTGTTTTCACCGCCTACCTCACCTTAGTTCTCTATCGTTGCGTCTGTACTCGTCACTATGCTGAATGGAGATCCTCCTGGGACCAGAAAGAAGAACAGGAGGACACAGAGGTAAGGCCTGACTCTCATTGACATTACAGTGACCATTATGGTGACTTCATGACAGTAAGGTAGAAGCTCCGATAAAAATGGAGACTGCCTGGTGAATCCATGATATCATAAGTGATAAAAGTTACTATTACCCAGGTCATCAACTCAGTAATTTTATCAAAATGCTTGCTTTGCATTATTTTATAATTCCAGACTTCTGAAGTCATACCTTCAGCTGTCTGTGTGGCATTGAAATGCATTCCTTCAACGATGCCATAGGTTTTCATCTTCAGCCAATAATCATTTATTTTTCATAAGGAGAATAGGCCTGTACAGTGTTTATTCCCTTCACTATCATTCATTCTTGGAAGCAGCGAATTTTAGTTCCTGACCTTGTGGTTTTGTGCAGATTATCATGGAGTCAATTCCAATGGTGTTGAATGGGCATAGTCAAGAGGTAGAATGTGTGGGAGTGGGTGGTTCTTACCTGGCCAGTGCTTCCTTGGATGGAACCATCAATCTCTGGGATGTGGAGAAGGGCACATGTCAAATAACTATTCACAGACCTAGGTATTGCACATGAGACCCTCTTATAAGAGTAACCTTTACTCTCTTGAATTTTTTGCATTTTCATTCTTGAATCCATATATTTTTCAGCTGTTCATCAATGCAGACACCTAAAAGCTCTCATTCTTCTACTGACTTCAGGAAGTGAGTGCTCTCATGTTCATCCCTCTGTCTGGAGGATTCCCTTGAGGTGCTTAGAGTGCACATACTACTTGGTGAATATTATGTTTGTTGTGAAGGGTGGATGAGGAGATTCAGGGACAATGGAAGAGCTCAGTGCACACTCACAGACGCAACTTGAGTGCAGGGAGCATTTTCTTATCTGATAGCCAGAGATCTGAACCTGATCAAAGCTGTTCCTCTTCATGTATCTGGTCCATGTCTTGTACCCGTAATCTCCTTGCTGTGGGCACCTCGTCTGGGTCCATAGAGATTTACGAGGTGGGCTCAGGCCAACCCAGGGTAAGTCATCCATCCAATAAGCCCTCAATGGTGTGCATAAATTTGTGACCAATTGTCCAATCTGAGTTCTCCTGAACTCTCATCTTTGTTTGACTTCTTTCAGTGTTTATGTGAGGGCTCCCTTGGAGATGGTGTGATGGGTGTCCACTTGAGTGGGGGGAATGTGATAGCTGCACATTTGTCAGGGACTCTTCGTTTCTATGCACTCAGGCCATCCCCATCTCAAACATACCCAAGTTCAAGAACTCCTCTCCCAAAAGGTATCTTGTTGACTTTCACTCAATACACCTTGCCTCCATGCAGAATCACCTTTGTATCTTCTGTTACCTCAATTAGGCCATACTCGAAGTAGCAGTGCAGGGTCAATGGCAGTTCTACTGCCCTCCAGTGGAACTGCTACTGGGAACTTGACCTTAATTGAGGTAAAAAGCATTCAGGCTCATCAGCAGCCAATCATTGTGAGTGAATGCAAGGGTGGCCTCCTCATCACTGGTGGTCAGGATCACCTCATCAAAGTAAGAACAGATTCTTATATTTAACCTCATCATTCTCTTCCTAGGAGTTCTTTGAAAGGGTCACTTTTGTTCCCACTTCTTCCAATACATATTTTAATTATTTGTTTGGAACTTTTTCACCGAAAGCAGAGCTGATCCACCCAACCTAGCAATTTTCTGGCTCATAGTCCTTGCCACAGGCATCTAGGGTACTGATGCATGAATGCCAGAAAATAAGAAAAGGGGATAGGTTAAGTTCTTTGAACATTTTTGGACTTTTTAAAGAATTCTATATTAAATAATCCCCAGAATAAAGTGCATAAGATTTGATTGGCATGTACATGTACCAAGCCCTAGAGGTTTTATTTTTCTTTTGGTCTGAGAATGTTAACAAAAATGATAACGATGATGTACTTGGATCTGGAATTTAGATAACAAGGGGCAGTCAGTAATTATTACTACTAGTTTTTTCAGATACCTAATTTACTGGAGAGAATGTACCTTGATGTGATACAATGACAAAGTCTACATCCTCCCAAAAACTGCTTGTAGCTTCTAATATCATTCACTTCAAAGTGGAGATAAACTTTAAGCTTCTGTTGACATGCTTCTGTGCCTTTCCAGAGGGATATAAGTACTATGCTCATTAGGATTAACTCTAAACATTTTGTGGAGTATAAGAGCCCTTTGGGTCTATTCATACAGCTCCTAGCTCAAATACAACTGGTGAGGCAATAAATCTGTGAAAGATAGAATACCTGATAAGTTTGAAAATAGCAAGCTGAGTCTCTTGGCAGGTGTTCAGTGTGGAGAAAAGTGAGGCAATGTACACTCTCCATGGTCATTATGGTCCAATCACTGCAATATTCATGGATGTATCCACATCTCCCTTGGCTGGTAGTGCATCACAAGATGGCACTCTATGTCTCTGGGACCTCTCTCTTGGTAAGATTTCTTGGTAATTCATGTAACCTTTAACATCTTCATCCTACTGGTTCAGCTATTGGTGTAAAAGTTGCTACAGGTAAGCATACCTGTGACTTTTTTTATTATCTAGCTTTGATGACATGGGATAGTTCTTCTACCAGTTTGCAATCATGTAACCACTCAGAGACCTTTGTAGATCTCACAATGGAGGGTCTATCAGATAGACCCCCAATGAGTTCATATCATTATTCCAGTGTATGCACAGTTGTGTGCACTTGCAGTCAGTCTTTCACGAGGGTCAACTGCCAACTTGTCGTGGCACTTTTGTCTGCAGCACTACAATATCCCATTTCATATACTACTTGTGTTCAGCTTTCTAGCATGTCATCCATCATACATCCTTAGTATTTATTTCACTTGGCACTCTATGGTTTCTATCTCCCTGTGCCCTCATTGGAGAACTGCTTTGAATTGCATGATGTCTCTGCACAGTGATTAGTGGAGGTATCCCTGCAAAAAGAAAATTACTCTTGTGAAAAAGTCCTCAAAAGTTTATATATTTAGATCCAGAGTATCATGAAGTTCCTTCCTTTTGCACAAAAGGTAGCAAACAAGTGTTTGAATGCTAGAGCCACTTTGAATGGTTCTTATGATTATTAGAGTGATTATTTGAAAGGCTTTAAGGGAAAAAGTTCTATCCAAAATTATTTTCTTTAGCTTCATGCAGAATATTCCAGTGACTGTCTTCTTAAAAAAGAGGAAAAGTGGTATGTATAGATAGACCAGTTTTTCACATTTATAAAAATCCCAGAACTGTTATTTTCAATTGAAGGGGAAACTGTCTAGGTGCACTAAACCAGCTATACTTGTCTTCAGCATATTTTTTTGTAAAGAGGTCACTTTCATAGGTCAAAGATTTAAGATTAGATCAAGAGAACAGACACAGAAAGCTACAAATTAGGATGCCAAGAGGAAAAGCTTAGGCTGCTAGCCAGAGATCAGTGTGTCTCTTCCACACCCAGACCTTTGAGTCTTCAGAGAGCCCCAACTACTGGGTGGAGGTATAGGTCCACCAAGTTCATGATCCAAGTGCTTCAACTATAATATAGGAAGGGTCAAAGCTAAGACAGCTACCACTTGGAAATAAGCAGTGAAAGATGCAGATTTGTATCCTGTCATCTTGTCAAGGTCTTGCCAGCTTTTATTTAATCAGTCTGATTTTCATTCACCAAAAATAAAAAGGAAGATTCCAATAATAGCACTTCCTGATATCTAGCAGTGCTGGATCATTAGTACATTACTAACATGTCAGTGAACCATGTGAACTTGACAGGAGGAATGTACAAACTTTACTATTCCTTTCCTTACCATGAATATCAGTTCTGAGAGAGACTTTATTCTTTCTTTTGAACAGGATCATGCATGTACAGCATCCAAGCTCACGATGGCTGTGTCTGTTCCTTGACCCATACATCGAGCTATGTGATCTCAATGGGAACTGATGATACAGTTTGCATCTGGGAACGACTCCTGGGTCATCTCCTCCACGTGCTCAAGCTGGTCAGTCCCCTTCAGTCCTGGCTCCTTCCCACATCACCACCACATTCTCTCTCTTGCTTTCTTTTTTAAATCTAGGATAGGCTAACAATTACATCAGAAAAATTCAAGATGTGGCTGAAGTGGAGTCTTGTTGGAATGAGAAATTAGAGCAACAAATGCAGATGATATTAGGCTTTATTCCATGCCTCTATCCATGCAGCTTTAAACGTATTGCATTGATGGTGTGATGATTGATGGTTTTCTTTTTCTTTGCAGGACAGTTCATATGCATCCTGCATGTTGATGTTGTCTTCCAGCCTCCTGGTGACAAGTAAACAGGTCAGTATAGTTGCTCAAAAGCAATGGAGAGGGAAAAGAGTTGCTTTGACCTGTTATAGAGTATCCACTGAATATACACTTAAGAATATCTGAAACTCTAAATAAAAATATGTCATGTATGAGGCTATTTTTAAATATTTAAGACTTGGGAAAGTAACCATCATATGAGTCACTTTTCTTGCAAAAATGAACCTGCATTTTCCATGCTTCCATGGCTTTTATGAAATATGCAATTAAATGTATGTTTGCCACTTGAGACAAAGGTTTAAATTATTTTGACAATATTTCCATGTTTGGATTTGTCTCACTGAATGCACATTATTGCTAACAGCCCTTTTATTATGTGATCCATTAAGGGGTCATTGGTGATCTGGGATGTTCGAGTTGGGGAGCCAGTACGTATCCTTCGACTTGGTGATGCCGATGAAAGCACCCGAGTGAAGCAACTCCTTCTTGTCGATGATCATCACATTGTCTGTGATTATGGGAATCAACTCAAAGTCATCCGATTCCCTCTTGTCCTCAAGTATAAGGATGACTAAGTTGTGCACAAGTCCAAGTCCTTTTCTCTTCTGTGATCCCTGTGTCTCTGATCCCGGTCACTTTTCTATTTATTTGAGAGTCCTCATTGTGGGTAGCAGAGCCTTCCTTTGTCATATTTCACAGTCCAAGGGTGTGCTGGTTTCCAAATATTTTCATCACAGCCAGAGACTCATCTTTGTTTTCCCTTCTCCATCACAATCCACACCTAGTCGCTGGTTGTCATGTTCCAGATCTTATTTGCTGCTATCTTACTCTTGTTCTGATATTCAATTTCTCATGGATTGGTGTTCAAGTGTTGTGCAGCTCATGTGCAATCTTTGAGGGCCTTCTTTTCATTCCAGTCCCAAGTGGTGCCTGGGGCTTTAATGACAAATAGGGTAAAATAAGGTGTTATAGTCTGAATGGGAGAACAAAGAATGAGGAAATAGTCTCTTCTGGATTCATAAGCCAAAGTCTGAAGGAGGTCATTTGTGTGTATGCTCAAAGCATGATTGTTAGCTATGTCAGAAAATCCTCATTCAGGGTGTCATGAACCAAAGAGCCTAAGATGGTTTTGTCTTGTTTCCTCAACACTGTTACCTTACCCATCATCACTGCTTTTGATACCTCATGACAAATCGGAAATCTAATTTCATGAATATAAATTTCCCTTTTCTTCAGGTAATACTTGAGAAAAGGCATATATTTTCCCTTATGCATCATCCATTATGCTGGTTCTTTTGATTGACTTCATTTTATGTAGAAATGATTTGAAGAGCATGGAGAAATGACAACAAAGATGTTGTTGAGATTGAGGGAGTTGATTTATGCCTTTTTCTCCTGATTATATCAACTGAGACCTCCCTGGATCTAGAATTCTTCTTTCCTTTCATTAACATGAATAATCCATACTGAAGATCCATTTCTTGCTTTAAAATTGCTTTAAAAAATATGACTAAGGAAGAGTCCTTGAGGCTTCATTTGCCTACATTCCTTGGTGCATCATTGGGAGTTCTAACTTCATAATGAGCCTTGTCTCTTTGTAAAATTAATTATTATTTTGGCTTAGGTCAGTTGATTAGCCAAAAAATTGAGGCAACAGGAATTTCGTTTTTAAGGAAAACTAAGGAAACCTACAAAAGAGTTTATCCAATGGCAAACAGATATTTTCAAATGCTGTTGCTTGAAAGTTAGTACCTCTGCCTGTGTCCTAGCTTTGTTTCTCTCCCAAAATTTCTATCTCTTCACAATCAAGATCTCTGCACCACTTCAGAGCATCTAAAATAATGCAAAGCAACTGTGACTTGCACCACTTAGCTTCTAAACTCCCCCCCCCCCCCTTTTTCACTTTCAGAAGGCTTTGAAGTATTTGAAAGTGGGATGAGTGTGCATTAGTTGTTGATTTCTTTTTCCAAAGATGTTTTGTTTTTTGTTTTGGAAGAATTGTGATGCATTGGTTTGAACAAATGTCATATGCACTGAGAGGAAGATGGAGATGATGCTGTTTGTTTCTTCAGCAAAGTGCAAATCACAGTTGTCAAAAATGGGACGTTTTTATGTTTGGACTACCTTGCCAGTGGGCAAAACACTAAATATAGGTACAAAGAGATTGAATCACGATAAGTGACAGGATACTTTTTCATGACTCATTTAGTCTTTGTTTTGTGGTGAAATCACTGTTCATTATATAACAAAACCAGAAGTGTTGATATTTCTCTGTCAGGAGGGATTGCTTCCTCTTTGGAGAATTTAAAGGAGAAACATGCACTGTATTGTGCTTCTGTATGGCTGCATCTTATGCCCCTTTCACCCTCAGTCATGGATTTAAAAAATATGCATGGTGATATCCATACTGGTACAATAGTCAACGTAATGATATTTACTAGGGCTGTACCAAGGCATTAACATTCACCGGAATTGGTCGTCAATTCCACATTATCTGCACCATTGGCAGGTTTTGCATTGCTGGTGGCAAAGCCCCCCTCCTCCCTCCCCAGTCAAAAAAGAGAACTTATTTTTATGCAGATTCTGCCTGGCACTAGACTCCCTTTTTTATTATAGAGAACAAGTGCTTCCAGCCTCTTCCATGGAAAAAAAATATATATATTTAATTGTTATGCCATAATTAAATCTCTGTGCCTGAGAACTGGGTCAAATGAAGGCACTGGGCATGCTGTCTAACTTCTGTCTGTTCCAAGAGAATGTACTGGTGTCCTTGTGTCTTCCTGGTGATCTATGCATGACATATGCTGACACAGAAATCACTCCCTGCAGCTGAAATCTGCATTGAAATTAATGCTGGTATCCTGTATATCCTGTATGTTTTAGGATCATGTGATTCAGCCATTCTCAGTTGCAGCAACTTTGTCAAATGAGAAGTACAGCAGGATGCCTGGTGCTGTCAGTTTTCCAGTAACACTTTTGTGTGCTTCCAACCTCCCCCCATACTAAAACCTGTACAAAGATTCAACACCCAAAATCTCATGAACAGACTAGAAAATGTACATTGTGAAGAATGTTGGATGGTTTGTGGGCTTGTTGCCCCCAACCCCCCATTTGCCTCTTATCAGCATCATCACCAGCATCGAGAAATGTGTTTGAGATCCCAACCAGACCTTGCCCAAAGATCAGCATTGGTACAGCCCCAATATTTATCCTAAAATCATTCCTCACAAATTATTTTAGGTTATAAAGGAAAGTTTTAGATGAATCAGTTGTGCAGTAACTTCACTGGTATAATTCACTTGATTTTAAAAGTTTGCTATGAAAATTCCTGCTTTCATCAAAAAATGCTTGCTCCTCTGTCACCAAGGCTTGCAGATTCCCAGCAAGTGAAAGTGGATGTATTCAATTCCAGTAGTCATTCATCGTTCACATGACTACCTATGCTCAGCAAATCATGTACATTTCACTCTACTCAAATCTACACTTTCATTACTTTTCATTCTGCAGGGAAAGTGCCGAGTAGTACTTAATTTAAACTATTATTCAATTGAATTAAGAGCATGTGCTTTACATCACTCACCTTGAAAAATGATTACTAAGTATCACTCCAAAAAATTGTGCATATTTTAATTGATAATGTGATAAATAGTACTTCACAAATAGAATTTGTGAAGAATATCTTAGGTTGAATGTCATTGCATATTTTAACATTTTTATTCATTACTTTAGCAGAGTGGGATTTTTTTTTAGTGGTTTGTCTCAATCATGATGAAGAATTGCTGTCAAAAGGCTTGCAACTGGGGATAATGGCTTTGTGTGCACCTCCCTGGAGGATGTCCTGTTGTAGGACATGGGATGCATTCAGCATAACCTGCTTTTGGTCTTTTTCAGTTTCTTGTCTTAAGATGTATAATTTCATGGAATCTTATTGTACTAGGAAGGCTCGTCGTCATGCCCTGTAACAAGTTGTCCCGATGTGTCATAGATGTGATTCTCAGTCTGTGTTTTTTTTTTGCCATATCCCTGTATTCCAGTTGGAATGGGGGAGAAAAATGAATATTTGACCTCAAGTTGTCTGCTGTTCTGAAGTTTTTCTTTCAATTTCACCTTTAAAAAATATATTCTTGCACACGACCAAGGGAAAGGGGAAATTATAGACTGGGTTATTTCCCTTTTCCTCTTAACATTTCAGTTAGCTCGAGGTTTTGACTATTGATACTGATTTAGTACTGGTAAGGCAAATGATAAAGATTATGTATTTTCTTCTCATTTTTTTAGATTCATGCAATATGAGGAGATTTTAGTAGCAATGTGAAAATTTTCCTCAGTAGAAAAGAAATGAAGCTATTTCAATAAAATTATTTTTAAATTCCTTATTCTGTAAAGGAATTAGGATTTCAGAATGCACTTCCCTAGAGGGTTGATGTTCAAAAGAAGACTGGCTTAATAGAAAATGCATGGAGTTTTCCTCATCAGTGAATGCCTCCGCAGCAATACACGGAAGTTTGTGATGTTGAGGCGGGGAAAAAAAGTAGGCAAGCTATTTTCTTTTTCATTTCTAATTCAATTTGAAAAGAGTAATTCTGCTGGAAAACCGTTGACGGCATGAGGCCTCTGGGGAGAGCCGTACTCTGCTGGTAGACCGTGGTAAGAAAAGGACTTGAAGTCAGCATGTTGTCTCCAGTTTCAGACTCTGGAATTGAAGAACCCTGACTCATCGAGTAGTTAAAGCATCATAGCGCCATTATTGTCACCAAATGAGCAAGGAGGAGAGTAGGAGCGAGGAAGCAGTGGATGGCAGCAGCATTCTTGGGATGGATGGTGGCTTGGACGCGGCCTTGGTGTTGACATCGGGGCTGGCCGAGGCCGTCGCCAATGCACATGGCATACGCGACGGCGTGAGGAATGTAGGTCTGGTCGAGAGTTCCCCGGAAGAGGTGGGACATGGGTCCTTGGGCATAAACGGGGACGTCCTCGCCCGTGTGAGTGGACCATCGTCGCGGGACGGCGCTCTGTTGAATGTAATTCGGCTCCCGAGTGTTCTTCTCCGTGAGGTTCTCTCTCCCGTACCCGGGCCCCGTTCCGTACAGCAGGCTCGTGTAAGGCATCCCATCAATGTCCGATGCACTCGGATCCACCCCTGTGAATGTCAACACCGTCTCTAATTCACTGCCATGACAGACGAGCAATGAGAGTTCATAAGATGCAGACAACGTTTGGGCAGACCGGAGTGAAAGATAAATTGTTGAATTTTTTTTTAGTACACTGGCTCATGATGCACCTACTCATAAGAACGTTAAAATAGAAGTCCATCCGAGTTTTTTTTTTTCTCCTAAACCCCGGTTTTTGGAAGTGATACATATCGTGTTAGTGCAACCAGAAATTTTTTTTTGCTTTCCAAATCTACATCAAGACCAGATTAAGGTTCAGATTAGTGGGTGTATGTATGTAATATTTGTTTTTATTTATTTCGCGGTCGAGCGCTCTTGCGGTTTTTCTCCCAGGTACTGCCCGTGCCCCCAATGTTTGTCCGTTGACCGAAGCCAGGAGTTAGCTATTCGGACGAGTATAAGGAGCATAGCATTCTTGAAGCAAAACATTAAAAAATCAAAGAATTAACTGGAGGACTAAAAGGAAAATTAGTCCAACTGCACAAAAATGTTGAAAGTTTTTGAACACTTGGTCATGTGCGGAACTAAAACATAGAACAGTCATTCCAAACCATGAAAAGACCATTTTGAACATTTCTGGATTTAAAAAAAATGCAAAATGGGATTTGGCAGCAAAGTTAGATCAAAGTCATTGACCTGGATTATGACATCCTTGTTACTGGAATGAGAGTGACCTAAATGACATAATATAATAGTTCAAGAGCTATGAGCATAATAAAAGTTAATCTCAAATAGTTCCTATCAAGGTGAGATATCAAGCATTTTACACTTCAAGGACATCAAGGCACTTCATTAAGGTCGACACTTCTCTCTGAAGTCTACAGAGATTCGTTTCTGTGAGATGTTGCTTGCCAAATTTCATCAGGATCATATGACTCCTCACAACTTTTTCCCGAGTAGAGACATTTTGAGATGGAATGAGCCTCCGCTTACTCCGCTTGTCTGGACGCGAATTCCTCGAGGGAGAATCGCAGAAAAAATACATTTCTCAAGGAAGTTCTCGTTGGGTCCTGACAAAAGTTAAAAAAAAAACCTTCCGCGGAATACATCGTTGCCTGGTCCTCCGTGGATTTAGACCAGGCCTGGTTAAACGTCCGTGGCCTTAACGATTACGGAGGAGGAAAGGAAGCACGCAAGCACACCAGGAAACGGACGGGAATCGAACTCGTACCTCTTGATTGCCGGTCAGGTGAGCTACCACTCCACTACCGAATCCAGAACATTGAGCTGTCCTCAATGCTTTCCATACCGCTATCGTTACTCTGGGCCTAGACCTATCATAGTACGTGGCAGTGTCCATTCGGCTTCGCAATCATCAAATGCTCTTGTGATTTTGGGTGTTTTCATTGAGGATTTTGAGACTCACGCTGCCTTTGCAGGGGAGGGGAAAGGGAAAAGCCCTTTTAAAAAAGAAGGCTAGCACATTACTACTTATTGCTTAACGAGCTGAAGATAGAGAGCCGTTTTCATTTCCTCGCTGATACGGGCGTTCGAGTGGGCCCTCAATGGACGGGAAAAAGACTTCGTGAGCTCAGTTCCTAAGTTGCTGAAGAAATCACTATCTGAAATGGGCGAGTTCGATGGATGGCGGCATACAAGGCTCATGCTCTAGCATGCCGAGCAGAGTTCAACGTCGAGCTTTCTTCGATGAGATAGGGATTTCCTTTGTTAACAGATGCCGTCGTCTCCCCACGAGCAGGGATATCCCCTCGGGGTTCGTCCTCGATCTTCACGTTTGCTTCTGCCATTTCTCAAATTACTGGGATCATCCGGGATGATCTCAGAATCAATTAGAGTGCACCCCTAGGAGATGAAAACCTCTCAGGAAAATGAATAAATACCTCGTCCCACGTGCTCTTCGAGCCACGAACTTCCAACACACATTCAAGATATTTTCACTCAAGCTGGCGGCTACATCTTATTTTGATTCAGGTGTCCCTGATAATGTGGTCTGGTATCAGTGGATCTGGTTTTACTGGTCGTGGAGAGGATTTCTGTATTCTTTCCCCCTTAAACATTTCTCGGTTTCGGCGTGCACCCTCAAGTACTTTCCAAGTGTTTCCATACTTACCGCCTTATGTCCAATTATGCTTCTGGTCGTTCATCGAGCTTTTAAGCCTCTTATGGCTTCATGCGCCTTGCCCCTGCGTTCCTGTTCCTTGATCCCATATTCGTCTTGTAGAGCACTCCATCGATTAAGAACTAATCTTGTACCAATCGAGCTTCTTCCGTCATTGTTCTGGCCTCAAACATAATGAGTATCACTTTTTTTAATCGATTCTCAAACATCTCCGGAGAAATCCTCCGTGACCCAGACATCTTGAGGTGGTTCTCCTGCCACGTCCTTCTTCACCCTCGACATTCAGATCTCGTTCTTTCCATCCTTCATCGCAGAAACACGCTGTGTGTTGGACTCGCGCATTCGTCCCAGTCGATAATGGAACAAGAACCGTGACACATGATGCATCCCCTCGTCCTCCCCTCATCCCTCATCCCCTCGGCACAAAACGTGCTGTTTCCTCCGTGGACTTAGGCTGCTTGGATTCCATGAAACACGGAGCCATTCCTTCATTGCAAATTCAGCCTGTCCTGATGTTATCTCTTATCCACAAATTCCCGACTTCCTTCTTCCTGTCCTGTACTCTCGACCAAGGCCGTATTTAGGGGGGGAGTTCATGGGGTTCAAACCCCCCCCCCCCCCCCCCCCCGAAATACCTTTGCCTATACCTCAGGTAACAAAAAGACAGACGCAACGGGATAATGTTACTGTAGAGAAGACACCTGAATAATTTTACGGGAGAGCACTCTATCTGCCATTCTTGGATCATGTTAGGACGCAGCTGAGGGAGAAGTTCTCCAAACATAAACATCTTATTAGCTCTTTGCAGAGGGTGGTTCCAAAATGTTACATCTGTTGCGAGCCTTCAGATCTGAAGGAATGCATTGAATTTTATACTGCACTTCTGCCTGAACCAGAAGCATTCTCAGCTGGGTTTACGATTTGGAAAGCCAAGGGATCGAAGATAGCGGAAGCCAGCAGACCAAGATCAGCTCTGGAAACTTGTGGCGAGTATAGTTCAGAGTTTTGTCCCAACATGAACAAGCTTCTCAAGATACTAATAACACTGCCGATTTCCACTTCGACGGCCGAGAGGTCATTTTCAGCCTCAAAGCACCTCAAAACCTACCTGCGGAATTCAACAGGAGAGAAACGCCCAACAGGGCTTGCACTGCTGAACGTTCACAGAACCATTCCTGTTGCCCTGGTGAAGTTGTCAGAAGGTTCGCCTTAAAACCTCGGCGGGAAATTTTCATACTGTAAAGACACAAATATTTTTTTTTCTTGACTACATTCCGGAACGAAGCAAAACTGGGACTTTTCCTTTCACTCCTTCAGTCTCGAGGAGTTCCACGTTTCCTGACTTCTACGATTTTTGGTATAGGTTTGTTATGTCTTTTTGGTAGGCAGTGATCTTCAGCATTAAAAATACGGGAAGACTGTGCAATACTTGGTCTTTTCTATCTTTAATAGCTTATGACACTGCAACTTACAGGAAAATTCAGTGATGTCACAAGGACTCACAATGACAAGTATGAAAAAAAATAGCCACAGCGCGTACGCCAGACCTCATTCCCCCGAAATGAAATCCTAGATACGGCCCTGCTTTCGACCTTCAGATTTGCGATTTCTTCCCCCCTTCTAGTCATAGCTCAATACAAATTTCATGAGAGTGGCTCCAATAAGATGCAGAAAATGCAGAGTTGCATTAGAGTCGGGAGAATCCCGACTCTAATGCAACTCTTTTTTCCCATGCCCTATTCGTCTTTCATTTTTTCATTATTCAATTATTGGGTTGGAAAGAAAGTCTTGCAACACTTTCTAAAACTATTTATAAAAATTTTCAAAGGAATGATGGGCGGAGCTTTGCATTTGTATATGCTGGAATGTTNTCTGCGAATCACTGCTCCTTCGTCCGCACAGAAAGGACCTTCTGAAGGAAATCGTTACCGGAGATGAGAGCTGGGTCCTCGACGTCGACCATACTCGCAAGAGTCAGTGGCTTCCACGAGGAGAATTGCCGCCACACGAACCGAAACCAGGATTCCACGAGAAGAAGCTTCTTCTCTGCTGTCGGTGGGATTCAGAAGGAATGTCGTACTATGAGCTCCTGCCAACCGGTACCACCGTGATTGCCGTCGTCTACGCTGCTCAACTTCAGAAGTTGGCTGGCGTCTTTCAAAAAGAGCGTCCCAAACGCGACAAAGTTCTCCTTCTGCATGACAACGCTCGTCCACATGTTGCGAAGATGACTCGCCAGACGATTTCGGAACCGGGCTGGGAAGTTTTACCCCATCCAGCATATTCTCCGGACTTGGCCCCTTCCGACTATCACTCGTTCCGGGCCCTCAAGAATCACATGCGGGACAAGGCCTTCGACGATCGAGCACAGCTCGAAAATGATGTCGGCCGTTTCTTCGCTTCGCAATCGCCAGAGTTCTGGGCAAAGGGCATCGAGCAGTTACCCGTGCGTTGTGAACATGTCATAGACAACAATGGTCATTACATTGTAGACTGAAATTGCATTTCAATAAAGTTATAAAATTTTGAAAAATTTGCGCAGAGTGTTGCAAGACTTTCTTTCCAACCCAATATTTTCCTATTTTAGGTCGGACTTGAGAATCGTGGCGCTCGACAAAGGGAGTCTCGCAGTCCGATAGAAAGCATCTTCTACTTCTTTTCTCCCAGGAAAAATGCGAAAAATTCCTGCATAAAGTGTCTCACCGCTCACAGTCCTCAGAATGGACGTCACTCGATTCTTCGTGCGAAAAGAAGTTACTATAGGTTAAATGTTTTGCATTCGTGCCGGGTATTTAATTAACTCATTCCTTCCACTATTTCCTCATAATGGGCAGAGGTGCAAGAAGAATCGAAGGGCATGGAGGCATTTCTTGGACTCGTTCCAGGCCTTTAAACCTACTTCGCTAATGCCACGGAGATAACAGTATTCACGGATGCCCTTGCCGAATAGACTCCTTGCTTTTTCTGTTGAGGAAGACACGAAGCAGTAAAAATAAAATAATAATAATAATAATAATAAATGCAAGTGTGAACATCTGGTGGAGTCTTTGATCCGCCTCGTTGCAAACGGACTCGAGTCCTGAATGCCGAGCACTTGGGCTCGAATTTGTAGGAGACCTTAAGAAAATATTAGTTATAGCTATTGTTGAATATTAGTCTTATAGTTTCTTGGTTCCCACTTCTCGTTCGTTACGGTTATCTGGCCGAATGTCCGCAATGGTCCGCGAAAAAGCTGTGCTCGAACTTGATGGGGTGGAAGACTTGAGATTAGAGCAGGAAATAACATGATATTAAATATCGATTTTCCTGCTTTTTTTTTGTCCGGCCTATTGGAGTTGGCGTTTCCACTCGTAATTGGGCACTATACGTCTCATCGTGGTATGTTGCAGGCTTCATTAATCAATCTAGGATACAGATATTCCAGAACGGGCACGAAGAGACTTTTCCAGGACTTTTCTTCAGGTGATGCTTGAATTCCTCTAGTGACCTTGGTGAAACGGTGAGATTTTTTCCTTGCATCTTGGCTGAAGTGGACGCAATCGGCGAGGATCTGTGCCGATTCTACCCGCCAAGTTCTGCATTTACAGTCTTGCAACCCGAGCTTGGGACGCTGAGCTACTTTTTTTCGCCCGTAAAAGAATCCATATCCGAGGCGTTCTCGTCGATGACGTAATAGTCCGTCCTTCGGTTGTGCCCTGGCCGATAAAATCAAAGTGGAGCGACGATGATGGGTCACCCGTCGTGATGGGTCACCCGTCGGTGGCAGGTGAAGAGAGGAAAGTTGGAAGAGGGAATCACTCCGCTTTCACACGTCAACGACGTGCGAGGAGAAAGTTTGGGAGGGAAGAGACGAATGGCGCTTTCATTCCCTGCTTGGTCTCTTGCCCGTTTCCTCGCTTCCTTCTCGCTCGATGCGGTGTTTGACTTCGATGAAAAATTCATGCCGGGTGGAAAGCGTGCATGATGAGTGAAAGACTCGGAGAACGAGGTCTTCGCAAGCTGACATCAGGGTTTAGGTCCTCGTGGGAAATTTCCGCGGGAGTGCAGAGAGATTCCGCTGCAATCGTCTCCGTTGAATCTCTAAGGAGCAGCGCTTTAATGGAACTGCCTTCAAATGATAAAAGTTTCTCAGCGCTATTGGGACCAACAAAGAAATATCTGAGGATTCGGGCACTCGTTTCAGAAAGCCTATTGGACTGGACCCTCAGCGCCTATACCTAATCAACTGTTTTCACTTGAAATACCTGGAAAGCTTCAGGCTCTTCGTGGACGACGGAATTTTTCGGTTGTTTTCCGGTAGTCTTAGCTAGAACACTTGTTCTACTTGAAAAATTCGGGCGTTCATCATTGGCTAGGAGAGCAACAGAAATGTTCATGGGTCAGGGAGAGCCCAACAATTTTCTAGTGAGGGCGAGGACCTTTAACCATCTAATATACGATATTTTAAGATTTTAAATAATAATGGTAAAAACTTATTTCATCATTATTTCTTTTCTGGAATTCGAGTTGTCGCATTTGACTTATGGGTCATCACAGGGCATCGCCACTACTGATCTGTCTTTTCTGCGTCAGTAAAATCCCATGTGAAAAAAAATTATTTTAAAATGACTGCTAACGCCGACACAGCGATGCCATCAATTGTATGAATACACCTGAAAGGGGTCGACACATTGGTGACTACTGACCGACTGTACGTTTGCGGCAGGTGGAAATCGCGTACAGTACTCCTCAGAGTTCATACTGACGTCATCGCGAGGAAACGATTCGTCTGCTCGAGAACTGTCCAGTTGGTCGACTCTTGAGGTGTCGTCTGCTTCAAAACTCTGATGGTTCCTCAGCCTGTCGCTCGACACAGCGTAGAGGATGAGGGAGTTATCAATTATGTATACTCTACTCTATTGCACTTGGAGTAGTCCCGCGTGGAAAACCAGCTTCCAGAGTACGTTCTAGCTTCCACATCGACCCGAATTCTCAAGCCCTGAACAACTATGTAGATGACATTATTCACAAGAACTAGTCACGGAATTATTCGCCATCGAATCGAAAGGGAATAGGGAAGGGAAACGTTACGACTATGAAGAAATGTCCGTGGTGGCATCATCCTTAGTAAAGGAGAGTTCGATGAGGATCCTTTTTTCCTGGCGACGACGGGAAGATCCAGCGCGTTGCTGCTTGCCTCGTGGCACCTTACGTACCAGCCACCATCTCTCTCTCCGCTTCTTGGGCGAATGTTGTGTTTCGGACGCAGATGGTTCCGTGTCAGAGGCATCGGATTCCGAGAATCTCCCACAGGGGCACATCCCACAGCCACCTCCTGCCTCATGGGAGCCTGGCATGCTCCTTCCACGTGTCGAGAACGGGATGGGCGATGCAGAAGCCGATTCCCAAGACCCTGAGGTTCAGCAGTTACGTCGATGTGAGGAGAAGCCTTTAGTTTTAGGCCTTCATCTTGCCTCCTCCTTGATAGCACGCTTCCACCTCTTCCTGCACTTGCCTGTTTCCTTGTTGGGTCTTCTGCTTATACCTGTACTCACCGCGTGAGAACTTTCACTACGTCTTTTTAAGGTCTAAGGTTTGGGTATACCCACGAGGGGTACACACACGAGGCCGTCCCTATAGGGACGGCCTCGTGTCTAGGAACGGCCTCGTGTCTCTAAGCGTTCATATATACTAACGAGTAATATAGATATCTCATAAATATAGATATTTTTGTGGGAGCATATCCACCCCCTGTCTAGTCACTTAGAACTACATTGCTCCTTTTCTTTTGTACATTAAGGCATCTTAACCTCTTTTTTTTCACGGCGCGGGACAGCCCCCTTCATAATCGCTTAGTGTATTTCGCGCATTCACCATTCTAGAAGCGAAAAAGTTGTTTAGAAGCATGGGTGGCCACTTTTTCATTTTTTCCCCTCCTCTATCTGCTACATGCGTTTATCTTCGAGGTAGGTATATAATTTCTGTACCACCCGTACCACCTGTACGTTGAAGTATTGAGTGATACAAAAAAAATGCCCCATTGTTCGCTTGTTACATTGCAACGAGACAATGAATGGCTCAGCCAAGTGTGCTGACAAAAACCCAATCCTCATTCCAACACCTCGTACCTTTCTAATGTTGGTCGGTTATCTAACTTATCATTTTTGGTCACATATGCAAAGCTACCCTTCTCCCATAGAGAAATATTTTTTTCCCATTTAAATCACTCGATCATTCCTCGAGCGCAACTATGCGATGGGCATCAGGACTCTTGGTCTGTTTTCCCCTTGACGACTTAGGAATCTCCCAGGAAGTTTGCAAGAAAATAGATGTTTTGATTGGGGTTCCTCTGAAGAGCGAGTCGACCCATGGTTCAATCCTTACTTGAGGTGTTTCTGGCGTCTGTGTTTCTTGCCATCGTCGTCGTCAGGAGACGAGAAAAAGTCCAAATTATCAGGATGACTAACCACAAGGACACCATTGGACATCATGCAGCCCTGGCTGCTTTTCCTGGACTCACATTGACATTTACTGTTAACTTCGCCGTTTTGCCAATAACAGTCAGCTTGGCCGCTCTGTAGTGCAAGGACTCCTAGTGCGAGTATACTAGGAAAGACATTCTTGAATTCCCTACCCAAATTCACCAAACTACCAGCTCCCTCGATCCCAGCACTCATCAACGCATGAGATCCTTCAGAGGCGCAGAATCGAAAACACAGAAATGAGGTATGAGAAAGCAAATATCACAGACCGAGGATGGGGTTCCCCCTGGGAGCTTGCCCCCCCAGAGTCAGCGAATGCGAATGATCCCCCCCGACGACGACGATCGTCCTGCTCGTATCCACCAACTCCATCGCGGCTTCCACGCTCGCTTCCAGGCTCAGCACCTCGTCCAGGGCTCGGGCTGCGTTGTTGAAGTGATGAGCGTGGTCCATCCGCCCTGCTGCTCGTTCGTCATCGTCAAAAATCAATCTCGACCGTTTTACTTCTCGATACCTAACGCGAAAGCGAAACGAACCTTCGACGACGAGCAGAAATCCCTTCGGACTCCTTCTGAGGATCTGGACAGCCTTGCGAGTCATTTCGACAAGGGACGGTTCCTCTGGATTTCGGTCCATCTCGAAAGACAGATGCGAATGCCCAAATAACCCTGTTTGTGAAATGCATGCCTTCATCAAAAATGCCGGAAAGGTCCATTACGGAAGACATACATTACAACTCCGCGGGATTCGATTGTAAGTGGCTGTTGGAGGACCAGAGAAAAACTGATTTCATGAGACTGTCACAAATAACTCCCCAATCTGATGTGAATGTCCAGGGTCTCCAAGAGGTAGACAGAAGAAGCCCGGTTTTTTTTTTTAAATACAAGGTGTTCATAAATTATTGAAGGAATTAACAAAAATTTATACATTGAAAACTACTGGGAACAAATATTTCAGGCTCGCATCAGATAGTATCCAAACCAAAGCCTTTACTTGAATGTGGGCCACCATTTGTAGCTATAGACACATCCAGGCGATATTCAATCTCTGCCCAATTTTCTCAAACATTTCTTACCCTTAAAAAAATATACAGGGGGGGTCCTGTCTGGTGACTATGGTGACCATGAGGTTGGCCCTTCTCTCTTGTGTAGTACACTCCCAGTTTATTGGGACTGCTTATACCATCATTTAATAGAATTGTCAAATGGAAATCCCTTTTGAAAAACTTGTCTAAATTTGCGCTGAACAAGAACCACCGTTTTAAATTCCACAAACCGCATAACTCATTGAGCTTTTCTTTGCACAGCAGCCATGACCCAATCAGCTGATGCAAGAAATGATCATTCTCTCGATTTCTCTTCCTCTGCCTCTGTCACACATTTGCCAAATGTGCATACAAAAGATACATCGTTTTTAGCTACTGTCTGGTGCAAAACTGATCAATTTTTTCCCAGAAGTTTTCATGAGAAAACTTTTTAAACCCCCTTAAATAACTCATGAATACCCTGTAATTACGGGCCTTCTTTCCAAAACTGTCAAAAATGAACAATGCCACTGTTTCCTGCAGTTGTTCGACGACAACACCAAATATTGTCTTGATCGCTATTAAAATTGCTATACCGCCACACGTGGCCCTTCTGCCTTTTCCTTGTCTCTGCAGACAATCCAGTCTCCCTTGCAGTCCCTCGATTCACGTCTCCATCAATTTTTGCCGACGGGAAAACAGTATGCAACTGCATTCTGTTTAATAAAGTTTTTGAAAGCCCCTCCTTTGCGACACGAGGCCCGACGTCATGGCCTTATATTTTCCCTCAACTCTCACCCAATACGGCATCCGTCTTGAAAGGATCCAGATCACGAAGTTGTTGACCGTTCCAGATGTAGGAGCCGTTCCGTCCGGCTTTCCTCTGCTGCTCGACCCAATCGAGAATGAGATTGCGGCCGTCGCGTCGTCGTCCCTCTTCCCTCTCGTCTCCTGGGTCCTTCGTCCCCAGCGGCATCAGATGCCTGCGACCTCCGCCGAATACCACCTGAAATCGAGGCCTTGCAGTCCCACGTACCTTCTGGAAATACGCGTACGTGTCAGGATGCGGATTATCAGACCCTGATGTGTTTCCCGGGAGAGTCCTCGACCAACTGTCGGGCGATGTCCTTGCAAGGAGAACCGTGGAGATCTCCGGACAGAACCTGCTCCGACAGCCTCACGTCGTCCTCCCAATACCGGGAAGGAGAATGAGCGTACAGTCCAGCCGGCGTCGCGTGCGTGATTCGAGTGTTCGTCACGATCCCCGTCCATTTCCCTGCAAGCGATCGAACGGTCATCCGCCACGGCAGCACCGAGAGAGCGATCGCGTCCATGCGCGACTTGCCTTCGGCATGAGCCCAGTCGAAGAGGCACGGGACGTGAGCGGATCGGGCGGTCGAGCAGTCCTGGTACCTTCCGGATGGATCGAGTCCGACCGTCTCGAAATTCCCCTTCACTCCGCAAAAGAGGGCTGTCGCACAGGCTCCCGAATCCCCCACCTGAGAGTTGGCTATGTACGTCTAGGAAGAGATCAAGCACGCGTCCCTTTCCTCAATCGTTTTCTCTATCATCGTCTTTTCTCTCTAGCATTAATGCCTTTCGTGGAATGAAGTTTAAACGAAGGACCGATTTGAAAAGTGGCATTTCCCCAAGGCCCCAAGCCCAAGGCCCCTGTCCATTTTCAATATCCTACTTATTTTGAATAATTGCTCCTCGCCTTCCTTTGGCAGTGCAAACATCATCCTATGCGGAGTGCAAGTCTCGTGAAAGCAGCACTAGTAAGAGAACCAGTCGCCATGGTGGAACTGAAGCGTAACCACGCCTTCACACCTCGGACTCGAGGTCAGAGGCTTACCAGGTCTGCTCGACGGCGGAGCGCCTTTCGAACTCAACCTGCACACGACGGCACGAGGTCCACGAAAAGTGAAGCGTCAGTTATTATGCTATTGCATGGAAGTGCTTATGGGAGAAAAACACTCTTACTATTGGGATCTACTCTTACACTCTTAAAACTCTCAAAACACTCTTACTATCTCGTAATGTTTTTACTAGTGGTCCATATTTGATAGAGTGAAATAAATTTGAATCATGAAGGACGAGAGGTTTTTGCAGAATATTCTTTAAAATGTCCATTCTCTTCCCTCCGACCCTTCCTTCGAATCATCTTTATTGATTTTTGGGCTTGTTTACGCGCTATCTGATGATTAGATTTTCTAGCGGAAGAAAATGCAGCATTCCGCAAAGCTGGGCATAACTTGAACCGGCGTTAGCACCTTCGTGATGTTGTCTTGTCCTCTTATGACACTCCTGCGATTAACATGTTATAATCGCCATGATAATCCTAAAGAATTCGTTCCTTTCAAGATGCCTGTTGAAGCCATCCTCATTTGGCTTCTGTATACCCCTCGTGAAATGAGGTCTATCCAGCTTCTTTCCTTGGGAATTGCCTCTCAAGGATATTCAAGATGAAATTACGTATATACGAATCTACGAGCGAGATACTTTGATCCCACTCGAAGCATCATTCATAGTGGCTGATTCGATTAGCTTAAAAATACTTGAGGCGTAAGCGCTCTACCGAGCAGGGAATTCCCTTTTCCGGTAGGGGGAAGGGTTTGTAGTAAGGGGCTGGAGGAGTAGGAGAGTGGGAATGGAGGTTGGGATGAAGAAGTGGGGGACGGAGGTATGAGTGGGGGTGGAGGTAGGAGTGGGGGATGAAGGAGGGGGGAGGTAAAGTACTTCCCACTCGGCGCAGCGTCAAAGCTTCGAGTAGAGCTGCTTTCTGTACAACGAACGAGCCCTTTATCCAAGATGAAAGTCGAAATCAGGAGCGGATCGTGGAAAGGGGGAGAAACTAGTGGAATCTTGGCTCATCTGCTTAAGAATTGTGTGAGATGGGCCGAAAGTCTTCGCTCCAATAAATTTTCTGGTAATTAAAAATAAAATAAAATCATCGAAAGAAAAAGCAACACCAAGAAGGAGTTGAAGAATTTGGATGAAATTTGGTGCAGAAGCTCGGAGCACCGTGTCATGAAATTAATTTAAATTTCAATGGTGAAAGAGGAGTATTCACTGAGAAAACTTTTAAAACGCCTAAACGTCTTTCTTTTAAACCTTCCCCCCCCCTCCCCCCTTTGCTCATCGTGCCATTCTGGCAGGAACTGGGAAACGAGCGACTTTTTTTTCGTATTTTCGGGTCGAGCCAGGCCG